GAGAGAGAGAGAGAGAGAGAGAGAGAGAGAGAGAGAGAGAGAGAGAGGGCGGCCAGAACCGCATGAACTTGAGTTCGGACTCTTGCAACAATTTTGTATTCTGGAATAGTATCTTCGAATGTGGGCTTATATCTGCCACATTGCTTTGCTGGTCGAGTGTTACGTGAACTTTGGGACTTAACGGAGTGGAGTCGGATCATTGCACTGTGATCACTTCCCTTGGGTGTGTTTCTTCTCGGGAGTGTGAACCCTACAGTGTCCAGCAGTGGTAGGGCCGGTGCAAGTGAAGCCTCAGTGCATCCTTCAACTCTGGGGGCCACCCAGAAAAATCAGACCGAAGGCGGTGGCAGAAAAGGGCCCCTGCCAGCCCTGAGTGACGGCTGGTGTGAGACAGTGGACGGAAGGCTGGGTGCAGTCTCTCCAAATAATCAGTAGTCCCAGCCTCCAGGTTAGTTGCAGGCCTTCGTACTCAGTCCGGAAGGTTCTGTGTCTGGGAAGATCCCAGTCCCAGTCAGGCAGCCATACCTCCAGGAAACAACAAAAGGGAGGAGGCTGCAGAATTCACACATTTTGAGGGTACTGGCTGCCAGCGCCAGCCTTGCAGGACCGCCAGTGGCCAGTCCAGTGCTCGCAAACAAAGAGGAAGTGTAGGATCAGCCACGGGTTAACTGCTTCGCCGGCAGAAACCATAGCTGTGCTGGGTGGAAGAAGGGTGGCGCTGGGGCCGGGGTGATCAGGGAGAAGGACAGCGGCGGGAACAGGCGGACTACCTGGCATGACCAAAGGGCGCACTCGTGGTGGTGAGAGTCCGCAGCAATGTTAGGTGAGAACAGAATGGACAGAGAGACAAGAGAGTGCAAGGGAGAGAAGTAGGCTGTGTATAGGGAGTAGGAGAGCATTATAGGTGGTCGTATCATAGTAGAGCTGCTACTTTGTGGTTGTATTGATGAGTGGAGGCAAGAAGAGTTGGACTTTTTCTTTATCAAGAGGCTTCTGTGTCAGTGTGTTCTCATGTGGTGTGCTCTCGTCTTTGTAATTCTGCTTTCGACTTTGCTCGTATATGCTTGTTTCTGCGTCGAGTCCTTTGCTGCTCGAGAATTTGTGTTCGCATTGATTGGTTCCTTGTTCCTTGCACTTTGTGCATTTGGTTCTCAACGAAGTCCCATTCGCTAAGCCTTATTGGGAGAAAAGGGGGCAAGGGATAAGCTGCTCTGCTATGATTTATAAAGCTGACCCATCTTGGATACATTCTCTTCTAAATGATGAATATTTCAAAGATACGATATTGGACTCGTTAAAACACCAGTTCAGCCGAGCCTGCTTGCACGAAGCTACCTTCCAAGCCTTCAGAGCCTTCAGCTGGGCCTCCACTTTTCTTAGTGACCTCCACAGGCGGGCCACTACCGGCAGGCTCGAAGCATCATGCTCTTACCGCATATACACCAGTAAGAAGTTAAGAACCCAACTTAACTTCAGGCGAACTGATCGTTTCAAGTAATGGACAGGAGAAAGGATCATTACTAGCTTTACTGTCATTTAAGCAATCAACAGCTTGATGGCCGTAGTCCTTTGTTGTGGTTATCAGGTGAACTTCATGAAAATCCATTGCACTGCAGTACAACAGAGGCATGGGGTTGCAAATGTCAATAAAGCGGTAGACAAGAAAGAGTGCAGACAGGAAACATTGACATGTGTACCTTAGAGAGAGCGCACGCGCGCGCG